GTAGATGGAGGAAAAGCTTATGGTAAAATTCAACATCAATGCATTATAAAAACCCTCAAAATTTAGAAATAGAAAAGGAATTTCATTAATGTAGCAAGGAAAAGGCATCTACTAAAAACCTACAGCTAACATTATGTTTAATGGTGAGAAAGTGCTTTCACCCTAACTGTGAAAAGAAGTCAAGGGTGTCCACTCACCACTTCTTTTTAACATCAAACTGCAAGTCCTACACAGTGCAATAGGCAAGAAAAAAAAAGGCATACAAATTGGAAAGGAAGAAATAAAACTGTTTCTATTCACAGACGACATGATTGTCTACATAGAAAAATCCTGAAGAATCTGCAAAAAAATCTCCTACTAATTTTAGCAAGGTCACAAGATACAAGTTCAGTATGTGAAATCAATTAAATTTCTGTGTCCTAACAAGGAATGATTGGAAACAGAAAATTTTAATAAAATACCAAAATCTGTAATACTTAGATATAAATCTAACGAAATATGTAAAATATCCATATGTAGAAAACTACAAAACACTGATGAAAGAAAAATTTTTTTTTAAAAAAGAGTTAAGTAAATGGAAAGATGTATCATGGTCACAGTTTGTAATACTCAATACTGTTGAGATGTCATTTCTCCAGTTTGATCTACACGTTCCAAGTAATTCCAGTTAACCTCTCAGCAGGATTTTTTTTTTTGTAGATATCATCAAGCTGATCCCCAAATGTATATGGAAGGACAAAGGAACTAAAATAGCCAAAACAATTTTGAAAAAAACAATGTTGGAGGACTCACACTACATGATTTCAAAACTTATTATGAAGCTTCAGTAATTAAGACAGTGTGATATTGGTGAAAGGATGGGTCAGTGGAACAGATTAAAGAGTCCCAAAGTCTACCTGCACACGTATAGTCAGTTGTTGACAGAGGGGCAAGGGCAAGTAAGTGGACAAAGGATAGTCTTGCCAATAAATGATGCTGGATGATTGGACATCCATACATGTAAAAAAGTGAACCACAACACATACCTCACCTGTTATACAAAAATTAATTCAAAATTGGTCATAGACCTAAATGTAAAACTTAAAACTACATTTTCTAGAAGAAAACATAGAAAATCTTTGTGATCTTGGGTTTGGCAAAGAGGTTTTAGATATGACATCAAAAGCATGATCCATAAAAGAAAAAAAATTGATAAATTGGAGTTTATCAAACTTAAAAACCCCTCATCTTTGAAATACCTTAGTAAGACATTGATAAGACAATGAAAATACAAAATATTTACAAAGCATATATATACAATAAAGAATTTATATCCATAATACATAAAGAACTCTCAAAATTCAACAATAAGAAGACAAACAACCCAATTAAAAAATGGTCAAGAGATCTGAACACTTTTCCAATGAAGCTGTATGGATGGCAAACAGCATATGAAACTATGCTCAAACTCATTAGTCATTAGGAAGTTAAAACCTCATGAGATTCCGTCACACACCTATTAGAATGGCTAAAATTAAAAGAAAAAAACTGACAGTACTGAGTTCTGGCAAGAATGCAGAGTAACTAGAACTCGCATATGTTGCTGAAGGTAACATAAAAGTGTATAGCCACTTGGGAAAGTTTGGCAGTTTCTTATAAAGTTAAACATACTCTTACTGTATGACTCAGCAGTTCATTCTTAGTTATTTATCTAAGTGAAATAAAAACTCAAGTTCACACAAAGAGCTGTCTGTGAGTGTTTATTACACTTTATTCACACCCACCAAAAACCAGAAACAATCTAGATGTCATTCAACAAGTGAATGGATTAACTGTGGCACATCCACTACTCAGCAATAAAGAGGAATGACCCTGATTTGTACAGCAATGTAGATGGATCTTAAATGCATTTTGCTAAGTGGAGAAAACCACAACCAAAAGATTACATATTGTATGATTGCATTCTGGAATGTGCTAGATCTGGAAAACAGATCAGTATTTGCTAAGGATGGGGCATGAGTTGGTTACAAAGGGGGCAGCTCATTTGAGTGATGGAAATGTTATGTTTGTTACTCTGGTGGTGGATACACAACTTTGTGTGCATTTGTTAAAACCCATAGATCTGTACACCTCATCCCACTGCGGAACGTAGAGGGAACCCCCGGTTGATATGTAGCCTGTGACAAATAAATCTGACTGTATTACAAATGAATGATGTAAACGTCCTAGAGGGAGTCAGGAAAGAAGCTAGGTAGCTTTGGAAATCAGTATTTTAACTGGATACCCTTTGACAAAATACAAAATATCACTGTACACAAGCACTTGTGTACATTGTAATCAAGTTGATAAACTTGTTTCTCACCAGAGTGAGGGCTAGCAATTCTGCAGCCGCCAGTGAGGGCTAGCAATTCTGCAGCCACTTTATCTGTGTAGTAGGACTGAACAAATCGGCATTTACATTATAGAAAACAGTAACCAGACTCCTCACTGTCAGAGAAAGAAGTTACAGGTAAGCAAAGAGGGAATGCTGGAATGCACTCTGTGGCGCGGGGTTGGGGTTCAATGTATGAGCATAAACTCGTGCCTTTTTGTTTAATGGATGGATGGACGGGTGGACGGACAGACAAAGGTCAGCATATGTACATATATTACTAGTTTTGTCCATTGAGAGGACCTACAGGGAGGGACACATTTAGCAATGAGCACACCTAGCACCTAGGTCTTGGTTTCTAAATGTTTTTCCAATAAAAGAAACCAGACAGTAAGGAAGTGGCTCAAGAAAAAAAACAGAGAGGATGGCATGTCAGAGGGACACAGGAGACTACTCTGGGAGAGCATCCAATGGTCAAAACTGGAATAATTTGAGCAACAAAGTAAATAATCATAGTTTTGGATTATAACCCAACAAATAAATACCCATGGGTCCATACCAATAAATAAATAATTGGATGAATAAATAAAAGGTAAAGGGGAGAAGGAAAACTCTTCCTACCAGGAAGAGTTTGATTAATAAATGTGAAAGGAATAAAGAAAATAGAAAACTGCTATTAGAATTCCACAGTAATCAGTATGCTGTACATCTTAAACTTCTATACTGCTGTATGTCAATTATATCTCAGTAAAACTGAAAGAGGAAAAAAAAAAGGGATTCCACAGTAATAATTGCTGCAGGAGTATCCTCCCATGAATGCCAAAATTAGATGAAAGTTTTTTTTTTGTTTTTTTCTTCCCCAAAACCCCAGTGCATAGTTGTATATCTTAGTTGTAAGTCCTTCTAGTTCTTCTATGTGAGCCACCGCCACAGCATGGCAACTGACAGATGGGTGGTGTGGTTCTGCAACCAGGAAACGAACCCGGGCCACTGAAGTGGCGAAAGTGCCAAACTTTAACCACTAGGCCATTGGGGCTGGCTAGAAAGGTTTTTTTAATTGTAGTTTTATATATGTATAAAATTAACCATTTTTAAGTGTACAGTTTGGTGGCATTAAGTACATTCACATTGTTATACAACCAGTAAGGAAAGTATAAGTGAAACAGAATGTTTGCATGGTCTCCAAGTATTCCTCCAAAGCATTTGTTATTTACATTATTTCTTACACTGTAAAATAGTAACTTTACATACGAGAAACCTGGCAGACTCCACCCGAACCAATGATCAAGGTTAATACACCAATAATAAAACATACCAATATCATATACCTCCTGGTATGACACCCTAGGAAGGGTACCTCTGTGGTCATCTTCCCCAAGATGCATAACCTCGTCCTAATTGTGGGAAAATGTCAGAGAAACTCAAAACTGTTGAGATGATGAAAGACAGGGAAAGGCTAAGGAGACATGGACAACTAAGTTCAGTGAGAGATCTTGGATTGGATTCTGGAGCAGAAAAATGACATTTGATGGAAAACAGGGTGAAATGCTAATAGCCTGTCCATCAGTTAGTATGTACCACTGTTGATTTCTCAGTTTTGTTCGTTTTGTTGTGGTTATATAAGATGTTACATTAATGGAAGCTGGGTGAAGGGTATACTGGGAATTCTGTATGATTTTTGTAACCCTCTTGAAGTTTAGATTATTTAAAAATCAAAAGTAAAAAAGTTAATGACTGAAAGTTAAGCAGTCATTTTTCCATAATTCCCTCTGAAAATGGAGAAGCCTCTTCAAGCAGCTAACGTGACCTTTATTAATAACAGCAACGGTAGCTAACATTTCTCCCTCAACCTCTCACCAGTGTTTGACATAGTTAGTTACTCCTTCCTTGACAGAGTTCCCGTTCCTGGTGCCCATGGCCCCATACTCTGCAGGATCTCGCTTACCTTTCTGGATGCACTTCTTCAGTCTCCTTTACTGGCTCCTTCTTCTCTACAGAAATTTTAAGTCCTTCACTGCTCCAGCCTGAGACCTTTTTTCTTCTTTCTAGACCACTGCTATTCGATTTGGTGGCCACTAACCACATTCTGTGGTTTAAATTCAAATTAATTACAAATAAATAAAATTTAAAATTTAGCTCCTTGGTTCCTCTAACCACCTTTCAAGTGCTTAACTGCTCTGTGTGGTGTTAGAGGCTGCTGTGTTGGACAGCACAGATGAAGACCAGTTCTGTCACCATGGAAAGTGGTGTGGGACACAGGTTGAACACCGGCAGTGCTCTGCACGTTACATTGCAACAAAAGGAGCACACAGCGTCTGGTCACCCCCTCCTAGTGCTGACAGGATCCATCAGTTACAGACAGTGTTGGCTCTGCGTTGTCAACTTCCTCTCAACCTTTCACCTAATAGTTTTATTCCTTGAAAATCTTTGCCTGAAACATTTGTTTAACTCCTTTTTAAAAAAAATACAAATGTAATCATTCCATGTGAGTATCTTTCTGTATCACGCATTTAGATCTGAGCTCATTTTAATAGCTGCATAATCTGTTGAATGTATATATTATAAAGTACCATGATTTAATTTTGCTGAATAAGTACATCTTCTTAAGTATATGATAATTTTAATTGCACATCCTTTCGTTCTCTTTCAGGTGAGCAGAAGGCCTTTTCTTCCTTCCAGACACTGAAAAATAATAGCAAGTACAGTGAGTCTTGTGAGGATTTGAGAAAAGATCAGCATAGCCCGTCCTATCAGCAGATCAACTGTATTGATAGCGTTATCAGGTATGAGACACAAGTTTTGACAACATGTTAGTTTTTCCAAAAGCGTACATTGTCACTGTGGAGCCTTCATATCATTTTTACTGGCCTTTCTATCTTGATTTTTCCCTGTAAGTCAGTAGATATTTATGGAGTGCCTACTACATACAGTTCAAAATATACTGAACATTCTAGGGGATGCCTCCTTTCTTGAAGCAGCTGTAGTACAGTTGAGAAGATATGACCTACTCTTGTCAACATTAAATAATGCAAGAGTTGAAGATCAATTCAAGACCATAATAAAAGAGATGTTACAATGCAGTGATTCAGGCTGGGATGGTCAGGGAAGACTTCATCAAAGAAGGAAGAACAAAGTACCCCAAGCAGAAGTGGTGTGAGAAAAGCAGAAAGGTGCGAAATGGCCACGTCAGGACAGGTGGGAATATGTGACCTGATTATGTTGTTGCAGATACCTGAAGAGCTACAACATTCCAGCTCTGAAAAGAAAGTGTATATCCTGTACAAATACAGCTTCTTCGTCCTCAGAGGAAGACAGACAAAACCACACGGCAGATGATGTCCAAGCATTGCAAGGTAACAGGAATGCCCTTCACGGTTAGATAAAAGGAAAGATTACAGAGCCACTCCTTTCTCTCTGTCTCTCTTTAATTTTTTGTCTATAATTATTTCACAGTAATCACAAATAATCCTAGTTTCATATTGCCTCTTTATGGCCAGTAGGTTTTAATTTTCCAGTTATAAATGTCTATAAACTGTGAGTGTTGAATATAAATTTCCTGCTGGGGATTTTTCTTTTCACTGTCAGTTTCTCTTATATCACCAGCTGTTTCTCAGATCCCAGCCATACCTAAATCGGAAATGCCCACTGATGGACAGTCCATGGACGCTGAAGCAGGAGCTCCCCGGACCCTGTCCACGGCAGCACTGAGCCTGGGTTCTGGCATCAGCCAGTGCAGTTACAGCAGCACCATTGTTCACGTCCCGCCCCCGGAGTCAGGTACCACATTTACTGTTTACTTTAAAATACGCTCACCATTAAATATGCTGTTGTGAGAAAACAAAAGTCATTCATATTATTTACATAGTTATAACTTCTAAATTACAAATACTTTTTCCTTTAATTCAGTTAGAGGATTTTGGAAATATCATATTTATGTTGGTTACATATTTTGGACTGTATTTCTTAGTTATGTCGTTTGTCCATCAGATCAGCTGACACAGCTGACTTAGGGCAGCAGTACCTAGTATGTGGGAGGAAGCCCTCGATCAGTCTTAGCCAGTATTAGTGCGGTCACTGAGGGGACTGCTTCAGGTCACTTTGTTGCTGACCTTGAAATAAGGTATCTGTTTCAAACTTTGACCACAGTTGTGATTCATGAGATCATGAATCATTCAGATTTTTGTATTGATCTGATAACAACGAGTATGTTTAAAACTCTCTTCCTCTAACAGCATAATGACTTGGTATATATTATTCTGATGTCTTCTTTTTATTCCTTTTTACTGCCTCCTATCCTTTTGACTTTTTCATTACTCATCATGATTTGTTGGATGAAGAAATGGTGACAAATGTGTTAAATCAGGTTTTCGGATTATCTAATTTATCTTCACTAGCCTTCAGTGGTCTGTTAGTTAACATGTGTTGAGCTGTTACTGCGCACCGTTCTCTGTCCTTAGTTCTTCATAGGAATTAACTCATTTAAACCTCACAACCACCCTTTGAGATGGAGAGGGTAGTGTTGGCAGGTGGGCTGTGGATTGGTGGGAAAAGACCGGACACACAACTGTTGTGAGATTAGATTATGTTTCTAATTAACCAGAGATGGAGTTTTATTGGAACTGAGCTAGTCACTCAGGACAGGAGCAGATGCGTATTTTTTAGTGTACTAAAAATATTACTTTTCTTAATATTTTGGATTCCTGTGTGGGCATGAGGCTGCCAGTGACACAGCCCATGCAAGGTAGGGTCTCACCCAATCAGGAAAGCTCTTTTTTTGACTAGCCACTAAGCTTTTCATACTCTGGTCTTATATTACTATTTTGAAAGAACTTATGCTAAAATCTATATGCTTTAATTTAAAGAATATTTACTGGTAATCATTTCTTCAGATCTTAAACTAGTCTCAGCATCTGCAAGGCCACATCTTTATTCCAAGGAGAGAAAGCAGAATTAGCCCAGATGTTCTTTAACTGTATCTCTGTCTTCTGCTTTTTGGAAAGCCCATATTCCTGCAGTTTACACTCTAACTCTAATAATGAGTTGGGTCTAAGAACCACGACCACAAATGTATTTTACACCTGAAAGTTATCATCTCCTTTTTATATATTGGAACAATTAAGGCACAAACAGGTTAAGTAACTGAACTTGCCCAAAGTCACAGCAAACGAGTGGCAGGGACTCAAACATCAACAATTAGTCTTCAGAAACCATTGCAATTACAGATGTTTTTGAACCTATAGCAGAGTCTAATTAAGGTGGAGTGTGAGATACAAAGATTGGCTAAAAAGCCAAGAAATAAATTAAAACGTAATTTTTAAGAATACTCAATCCAAAAGGGCAGGAAAGGAGGAATAGGGCAACTACAGCAACAACTAAAAAACGGGGAACGTATCAAACTGATAAAATAACAGCTCTAAACCCAACTGTATCAATAATTACATAAAGTAGACTAAACACTCAAATTAAAAGGCAGAAATGGTCAGAACAGATAAAAAAATCACGACCCAACTATATGCTCTCTGCAAAGTACAATTGAAATATAAATTCAGGGCCAGCCCCATGGCTTAGCGGTTAAGTGTGCGCACTCCGCTACTGGCGGCCCGGGTTCGGATCCCGGGCGCGCACCAGCGCACCGCTTGTCTGGCCATGCTGAGGCCGCGTCCCACATACAGCAACTAGAGGGATGTGCAGCTGTGACATACAACTATCTACTGGGGCTTTGGGGGAAAAAAAGGAGGAAGATTGGCAATAGATGTTAGCTCAGAGCTGGTGTTCCTCAGCAAAAAGAGGAGGATTAGCATGGATGTTAGCTCAGGGCTGGTCTTCCTCACAAAAAAAAAAAAAGAAAAGAAATATAAATTCACAAGTGGGTTGAGAATAAATGGACGAGAAGGATGCACAACCAAACAACAGTGTGAGAAGGCTGGAGCACCTGTGTTAGTAAAATAGACTTCGAGACAGAGTCTGACCAGAGACGTTTCCTAATAACACAGTCAGTTCATTAGGAGGCCTAACAACTGTAAATGTATATTCCCTACTTACAGAACTTCAAAGATATGAAGCAAAAATGGAAAGAGTTAAAGAGAGAAATAGACTTTCCATAATCATAGTTGAGGAAGTTAACACCCCCTCTTTGCAACTGATAAGACATCTAACAAAAGGTGAGTGAAGAAATAGATGATCTGAACGGTGCTGTCAGCTACTGTGATCTAATTGACGCTTAGAGAACACAACACCCAAGAGCTGCGTAATCCACATTCTTCTCAAGTGTGCACAGTGTGTGCACTGAGAAAGTGTGTCGGGCTGTAATATCAGTCTCAAGTTTAAAATAATTGATGTGGTACTAAATTGATGCTAAACTATGCTCTTTGGCTGGAGTTAATTCAATTAGAAATCAATAAAAATAAGATGTTTAAACCCAAACACTTAGAAATTAAACAACATATTTCTGAATAATCCATGAGTCGAAGAAATCACAAAGAATATTAGAGAATATTTCAAAATCAATGATAATGAAAGTACAGCATACCAGAATTTTTGGGATGCATTTAAAATGGGGCTTATGAGGAGATTAATGAATTTAAATGCTAATATTAGATAAGAAATATCTCAAATATTAATCTAAAGTTCCAGTTTAAGAAGCTAGCAAAAAAGAGCAAAGGAAACCCAGGTAGAAGGAAAGAAATAATAAAGATAAAAGCAGAGCTCAACCAAATAGAAAACAGTAGAGAAAATTAAAGCTGAAAGTTGGTTCTCTGAAAAGATGAACAAAATTGATGAACCCTTTATGCCAGTACCACACCGTGTTGATTCCTGTAGTTTTGTAGTAAGTCTTGAAATCAGGTAGTGCAAATCATCCAACTTTGTTCTTTTTCAAGATTGCTTTGAATATGCTGAGTATTTTATCCATATAAATTGTAGGATCAGTTGCTCAGTGTCTTTTTAAAAAAATTCCTGCAGGGACTGTCATTGGGATTGTATTGAATCTGTACGTCAATTTGGGAAGAACTGATATCTCAAAAATATGGAGTCCTCCAATCCTTGAACCTGGTATATCTATCCATTTATTTAGGTGTTCTTTAGTTTCTCACAGCAATATCTTGTAGTTTTCAGCATATAGATCTTGCGTGTCTTTTGCCAGTGTTATCCCTGAGTATTTCACATTATAAATAGGATTGTTTTTTGGTGTCAATTTCCAATTGGTGCTAGTATATAGAAATATAATTGACTCTTGTATGTTAGTCTTTTTCTACAGCCTTGCTAAACTCACATACTAGTTCTAGTAACTTTGTAGATGCCGTAGAATTTTCTACATGTACAATTATGTGTGTGAAAGTCAGTATTATTGCTTCCTTTCCAATATGGATCTTTTTTATCTGTTTTTTGTCTTATTAAACTGACTAGAGTCTCCAATAAACATTGAATAAAAGTTGTAAGAGCAGCTATATCCTTGTGTTTTTCCTGATCTTGGAGAGAAAACATTAATTATGTTAGTTCTGGGTTTTTCGTAGATACGCTTTATCAAATTGAAGAAGTTCCATTCCTGTCTAATCCTAATTTCCTGAGAATTTTTTTAAAATCAGAAATGGACATTGGACTTTGTCAGATCTCTCTGCATCTATTGAGATAATCATAATATTTTTCTTTTTTGGTTTCTTTTTCAGTTTGTTAATATGATGAATTACATTTGACTTCTAAATGTTTAAATATGTTCGCATTCCTGGGATAAACCCCCCTTGGTCATAATGTATTATTATGACCATTATCCTTTTTATATATTGAATTCATTTTGCTAAAATTTTCATAAGAATTTGTAGACCTGTGTTTATGAGGGTATTGGTGTGTGGCTTTGTCTGTTTTTTAATGGCTTGGTCTGGTTTTGGTATCAGGTTAATCCTGGCCTCAGAGCATGAGTTGGGAAGTGTTTTCTCCTCTCCAAGTTTCTAGAAGAGTTTATGTAGAGTTGGTGTTATTTCCTCCTTAAATATTTGCTCGAATTTACTGGTGAAGCTATCTGGGCTTAGAGTTTTCTTGGTGGTGAAGTTTTTAACGACAAATTCAATTTCTTTAATAGATATGGGGCTAGTCAGGCTTTCTACTTCTTGTCAAGTGAACTTTGTTAGTTTGTGTCTTTCAAAGGATTGGTCTCTGTTGTCCAAGTTGTCAAATGTATTGGAATCAAGTTGTTCATAATGCTCCCTTATTCTTTTGATATCTGTAGGATCTCTAGTGATGTTCCCTCTGTCCTTTGTGAAATTGGTAACTGTGTCTTCTATTTTTTTCCTGATCAGTCTGGCAGAGTTTGGTCAATTTTATTGCTCTTTTCAAAGAATCAGCTTCTAATTTCATTGATTTTTCTCTATTATTTTTCTGCTTTCTACTTCGCTAATTTCTACTCTGATCTTTATTTTCTGCCTTCTGCTTACTTTTGTTTTATCTTGCTCTTCTTTTTCCAGTTTCTTAAGATGGAAGCTGAAGTCATTGATTTCAGACATTTTTCTTTCTTAATGGATTTTAATATAAATTTTCCTATTACCCTTAGCTGTATCCCACACTTTTTAATATATTGTGTTTCATTTTCATCGTTTTCAAATACTGCCTAATATTCCTTGTGGTATCTTCTTTGAAGTCATTTATGTTATCGTATATCTACATATATCTTATGATATATTATTTAGTTACCATATATTTGGACATTTTCCCGACTTTGTTATGTTATTGATTTCTAATTTAATCCCATTGTGGTCAGAGAAAATAAAATTCTTTTACATTTATTGAGACCTGATTTATGGTCTGTAAAATGGTCTTTTCTTAGTAAATGTTCTGTATGTGCTTGAAAAAGATGTTTATTCTGCTGCTGTTGGGTTGACTGTCTTATCGGTATAAATTAGGTCAGGTTGGTTGATAGTCTGTTGAAGTCTTCTCTGTCTTTACTAATTTGCTGAGTACTTGTCCTACCTCAAGATGAGTATCGACTCTCTGACCGTACTTGCGTCTTTGTCCATTTCTCTTTGTGGTTTTATGGGTTTTTGCTTCATGCATTTTGAAGCAATATTTTGTGCATAAATGATTAGGATTGTTATTTTCTCTTGATGAATCACTCTTTTATCATTTTCAAATGACATTCTTTATCCCTTGTATATTCTTTGCTCTAAAATACTCTTTGTCTTATATTAAAATATTCACTCCAGTTTTTTTGAATTAGTGTTACTATGTTATATCTTTTTCCAACCTTTTACTTTTAGCCTATGTATGTCTTTATATTTAGAGTGGGCTCCATTTTAGTGGTTGCTTTAGAGTTTATGGTATATAGATTTAATTTTTCACAGTCTACCTTCTAGAGATATTATACCATTTCATGTGTGGCATAAAAACCTTGCAATACCATACTTCCATTTCCCCCCTCTGGCCTTTGTAGGTTGGCATATATTGTACTTCTACATATAAGTCCCACAATACATTGTTATTATTCTTGTTTCAGTAGTTATTATCTTTTAAAGAGATTTAAATATTTATCCACGTAGTTGTCTCTTCCACTGCTTTTCATTCCCTTATGTAGATCCATCTGGTATCATTCTCCTTCTGCCTGAAGAAGTTCCTTTCCTGTCTCTTATAGTATGGGTCTACTGGTGATGAATTCTTTCAGTTTTTGTAAGTCTGAAAATGTCTTTATTTCACCTTCATGTTTTAAAGGTATTGTAGCAGAGTATAGAATTCTAGGTTGACAGTCTTATCTGTCAGAGCTTCAAAGGTGTGTGGCTCCACTGTCGGCTCGTTTGCATTGTTTCTGACAAGAAATCTGCTGTCCTCCTTTATGTTTGTGAGCAGGTCTTCTCTCCAGCAGCTGGTAAGACTGTCTCGTTGTCACTGATTTGAACAATTTGATTATGATGTGCCAAGGTGTAGTGTTCATGTTTCTTGTGCTTGGAGTTCAGTGAGCTTTTTGGATTTGTAGGTTTACAGTTTCCATCAAATCAGAAAATTTTCTTCCCTTATTTTTTCAAATATTTTTTCTGTCTCCCTTCTGTCTCTTCTTTTTCTGGGGCTCCAATTATATGTATATAGGTTGCTTGAACAGTCCACTGGTGCTTTGTTTATTTTTTTTCCTCTAAGTTTCATTTTGGATAGTCTCTATTGCTGTGTCTTCAAGTTCACTAATATTTTCTATTGCAATATCTAATCTGTTGTTATTTCCATTTGATGTATGGTCCATCTCACATATTGTAGTTTTCATTTCTAGAAGTTCTATTTGGGTCTTTTTTTCCATCTTCCATATCTCTATCTAACATTTTTAATCTTCCCTCTAGCCATATGGAATACAATATAATAACTGTTAATGTCCCTATCTGCTAATTCTACCATCTCTGCCAGCCCTGGGTTGGTTTTGCTTGGTTAATTTTTTTCTTTATTATGGGTTGTATTTTCCTGCTTCTTTGCATGCCTGGTAATTTTTGATTGGATGCCAGGTGTTGTGAGTGGGTGCTGAATATTTTTGTATTCCTGTAAATATTGTTGAGCTTTATTCTGGGACCCAGTTAAGTTACATGGAAACAGATTGATCCTTTCAGACTTTGCTTTTAAGATTTTGGGGGCAGGACTAGAGCAGTGTGTGTGTAGCATAGGCATAATTATTCTCTGCTGCTGAGCAAGATCCTTCTGAGAACTCTGCCCAATGCCCCACAAACCAGGAGACTTTCTAGCCTGGCTGACAGGAACAAGCACTGTTCCCTACCTGTGAGAGCCTCAGTATTGTTCCCTCTGATCCTTTCAGGTGGGTTTTTCCTCACACCAATGCACTAGCGAACACACGGGGGTTCTGTGCAGCTCTTGGGGTCCTCTGTCCATGCAGCTCTCCTCTCCAGCACTCGTCCCTAAAGACTCCAGCCGCCTTGGTCTCCCCAGGCTCTCAGCTCTGACTTCACTCGGGGAGCTCACCAGGCTCCACCTGGTATCCCTACCTTGCTCCTCAGAAGCCCCTCAAGGCAGTGAGCTGGGGCAGTCCAAGGGCTCACCTTGTTTGTTTTCTGACCCTCAGGAGTCACTCTCCTTCGTTACCTGATGTTCAGTTTCTTGAAACTTATTGTTTCGTGTGTTTTGTCCATTTTTTTAGTTGTTTCAGTCAGGAAGGTAAATCTAGTTCTTTTTACTCCGTCTTGGCTAGAATCAGAGGTCCCGTGTCTGCTGTGCTGATTTGACTAATCAGGGCCTACTCTGATGTGGAGTGGGGCCAACCCACCAAACCACCTGATACTGCCCAGCAGGGGAAAGGGTGGAGGGGATGGTGGGGAACTTACTAGGGGTCACCAAAAATCTTCTGCACTTGGAAGAAGTAATTTTTTAGGGCTGGTGATATGTGATATGGTGTCTTCTCATGATGCTGGGCCATGGCAGCGGGCTGCAGCTCCCGGCCAGCCCTGCGATCACAAGGGTGAGCAATCAACACTTACAACCACTCTGTACCCAGACAGCATTCTGTTCCCTTTCACTACACTATTCAATAAATTACAAGATATGCTACACTTTATTATAAAATAGGCTTTGTGTGATGATTTCGCCCGGCCATAGGCTGATGTATGTGTTCTGAACACATGTAAGGTAGGTGAGGCTAAGCTGTGATATTGAGTAGGTTAGGTGTATTCAGGACATTTTTTACTTAAACCCACCATAAGTTGAAAATATTGTTATTGGGACATAACCCCATCATAAGTTGAGGAAGATCTGTAATGTTAGGAATTAAAATTAAATCTGCCTTCTTCCACTTCAGCAGAAGTGACTCCCGCAGAGGATCACACCCGAGCCTCTGAGCCCTGGACTGTAAGCAAACACCCAGCTCCACCAACCTCAGAGGAGCTTAAACACGTAGGGCTCACTAAGGCTGTGCTGTCAGCCCACACGCGGAAGGAGGAGCAGAATTACGTCGGTAAATTCCGGGAGAAGATGCTGTCATCGCCCTACAGCTCCTATCTTCAGCAAGGAAGTAGAAGCAAAGCTGAATATTCATATGTTCAAGGTAGCTAAATTTTTTAAATATAATCCATTTATCTACAGAGCCGTCAGTTTTATAAATCGTATGTAAGTACTGGGAGAGGTGGAGTGAAGAGTAGGAGTTTTGCTTGTAAGAAATTGATTGAGAGAGGCTTAAGTAAGTTTATATCAGCAGTTTATTGTCTGGGATCTTTCTTAGATCCTGGATCTGAGAAGCTGATTTTGTAAGACTCATTGAGAGATGCTGAAATAAGTTTATTTTATAGCAACAGCTTTTATCCGGGATCATGTTCATCTTTTTAGCTACTTTTCGCCATCCCTGTAGTAGACATAGTTACTATTGGCAAACGTTAATTCGTTTGTAATCTACTTATAATAACCTGTAAATGGCGTCTCTCCCTTCTTTTTTGGGGTTTAGTTTTCCATTATATGCCTCCCTCTTTATCCTTTCAGGAGATTCCACTTCCAAGCAGAGCAGGTCAGCTGGTTTCCGGAAGGGGATGCACAAGCGGAAGAAGCGCCCTGTGCCATCAGACAGCAGGAGCTCTAAGGGCACCTCCCGTCCCCACTTTAGGGGAGAGGTCCGGAACGTACAGCCCTGGTGCCCTGCCCCTGCCTCCTCTCCTCACGCCTCTGGCCTGTCCTTCCCGGCTGCAGTGATGGTTCCCAGCCAGGCCCCTTATCTTGTACCAGCTTTTCCCCTCCCAACCGTGAGCCCTCAGGGAAAAGAACACACAGCCTCAGTCACTGCAGTGCAGTGTCCGCCTGAGCCGCTCCTATCCAATGGCTTGCAGCCTCTTCCAGCTCTCCCTCCTCCTTACTTAGACACTTTTATGACCATTTTCCTGCGTGACCCCCTTATGTGTCCTCTGCTGTCACCATCACTCTCCCCATATCCATTTTTGGGAGCAACAGGCTCTTCTGAAATACCACCGTCGGTATCAGCAGTGGCTCCAAACCTGGAACCACCATCTTCAGTCATCGACCAAAGGAGAGGCGAGAAGTGGGAGACACAGAGTGGAGAGCACCAGTTCACTAGCTCGAGAAGCAGCTCACCGCTGCAGCTGAACTTACTTCAGGAAGACCCGCCCAAGTCCTGGGAGTCTTCAGACCAGATGAGAGGGGATGTTTGCCCAGAAGCTGAGTATGTAAGTGATGCTAACTTGCAACACGAGAGTGAGAAAGTACATGTGGTCCTCTTGTTGAAATTGAGGGTCTTGCTCTGGGGCTTAACACTGAAGGCCTAGGTGGAACATCAGCATTGCAGCTGTGCTGAGACAGAAAGCTTGTTCTGCAGAAACATGCAGTGTATCTGACTCCATTTGAAAAGTGGGAATGAAGGAATCTGCCATGTCCTGGTTTTTTAGGTATTTTGTGAGGCTTTTCCCAAAGTGCTATCTTTCAACTTTTCTATGTGGACTGGGTTTTCCCCCTATAAAATTTGTTATCTAGGTATTAAACTTAACATGTTCATTGCCTATAAAATATATTTTCTTACAACTGAGGTTATGGTCTGGTAAGACAGGAATAAACCATACCAACAAGACGAGAATTTAGCAATTTTACTTTTTCAGACATAGTTTTAGGACAACAGGTATGTATGGAGAGGAGAGGAGCCACTTATGTCATTATTTATCAGTAAAGTAGGCAGTTTATAGTTTCACACTTATACATGTCATTTTCAACAGTGAAAATTTTGAGGTCAGTTTACTTTAACCTTTTATCCCTTTACCTAAAAAGACATTCTCAGATTTATTTATCAGGTTAAACTTGGGAATATGCTGTCCTATATTTAGGTGTAGGATCTAAGACAGTGTGAATATTTACACAAAGTTTTTCTTCAGTCTTCCCTTCAAGGTATAATACCCTTTTTAATAGATGTTCAAAATCTGATGATCCAAATCAAGAAAGTCTGCTCAATTTTGAAAACCTGATATTTGTGCACTTGCTAGAAATCTAATGCGAGGCAATGGGTCCCAGTGAGCAAAGCCTGGACCGTGGGGTGAGACATACATTCAAGTCCCGCTCTGTCACTTGGTGGGGGGGGGGGGCGGTGGCTTAGACAAATACTTAACCTTTCTTTCTTTTGTTTCCTTGTTTGAGAAATGGAAAGATTGATACTTCACACTCATTCTGAGGATTAAATCAAGTAGTATTTATGTAGTCCTCCTCCCCATGCAGGATAAGCTCAGGGAGTGGGAACTCTGTCTGTTTACTATTATATTCCTAGTGTTTGGAACAGTGCTCAAAACATGTAGAATGTTCAAGATATGTTTTCTGAATGACAAAAAATAATAAGCACATACCTGTGTGGTGCCTGGAATGTAGTGGGTGCTCAAAAAACAGTAGTGTCTTTGATGTTATGTACAAGGGGACTCTGACCACATTCCTGGGGACTATATGTGTACATTTTTTCTGTTTAATGCGTGGAGTTGAAATCTGCCAGTTATTTTGTAGTGTGAGATGTTAAAATCTGCTCTTGTGTCCTTACTTGCAGCAGTGTGTTACAGGCGACAGTGGGAACAGGAGCAGTCGTTTTCCCGCCAGTGAACCGTCCATGGTGTTACTTCCCCAGGAGTCTCCGCCTGGAACTAGTTCTGCAGCATCAGGTAGTGGATCAAAATAACCCACTCTTCAAATTCTGTTGCCAGGAGATTACTGTGTAATGGGCTATCTGGTTTGGGCACTAGTGTGGAAGTAAAGTTTTTTTTTTTCTTTTTTCTTTTTGTAAGCTTTATTGAGATATATTTACATACAGTAAAATTCGCCACATTTGTGTGTACAAACCAAGAATTCTGACAAACTTATACATTAGTGTGACCACCACCACAATCACCATGTGGAATGTTTCCATCACCCAGAAAAGTTCTTCCGTGACCCTTTGCAGTCAGTCCCCTGCCATGATCCTCCAGCTCCAGGCAGCCACTGATTTGGTTTCTATCACTAGTTTTGTGTTTTCTATAATGTCATATAAAGTGAATCATTCCGTGTGCAGTCTTTAGTGTGAGGAGTGTTTGAGTTAGCATAGTGCTATTGAGAGTCCTCCTTCCTATGTGTATCAGTGGTTTGTTGCTTTATATTGCTGACTAGAATTACACTGTATGGATATCCATTCACCAGTTGATGGTTATTCGTTGTTTACAGTTTGAGGCTGTTATGAATAATGATGCTATGAACATCGAGTCTGAATCTTTTTGGACATATGTTTTCTTTTCTCTTGGATAAATACCTAGGAATGAAATTGCTAGGTCATATGGAAAGTGTGTGGTAAACTTTATAAGAAACTGCCAAACTGTTTTCCAAAGTGGCTGGACCATTTTGCATTCATATCAGCAGTGTATGAGAGCTCCAATTTGCAAACACATCCTGGCCAACCCTGGGTATTGTCCATCATTTAAATTTTAGCCATTCCAGTGGGTATGTCATGATACCTCATTGTGGTTTTAATTTGCATTTGCCTGTTGGCTAATGGTGTTGAGTATCTTTTAATGTAGTTATTTGCCATCTATGTGTTCAAATCTCTTGCCCATTTTTTTTTTTGCAGGGGGAGTTTTTTAGTTTCTTATTGAGTAGTAAGAGTTCTGTATGTATTCTGGATACAAGTCCTTTATCAGATAACTTGTTTTGCAAAAATTTCCTCCCTGTGTGTGGCCTACCTTTTCATTTTATTATCTTTTATTTTTATCTTCATTTTGAAGAACAGATGTTTTTTAATTTTGATGAAGTTGTTTGTTGATTTTTTTCTTTTATAGGTTGTACTCTTGTGCCCTTTTTTAGAAATCTTCGCCAAACCAGAAGTCACTAAGATAGTCTCCTGTTTCTCTTGGAATTTTTTTAAGGTTTAGCTTTTATAGCTAGGTCTGTGATCCATTTTTAGTTAATTTTTATATGTGGTTTAATGTAAGGGCCGATACATTTCCTTTGCACATGGATGTCCAGTTGTTCCTGCCCCATTTTGTTGAAAAGACTAATCTTTCCCCCACTGAATTACCTTGGCACCTTTGTTGAAAATAAATTGGCCATATATGTTTGGGTCTGTTTGCAGACTCTTTTCTGTTCTGTTTATCTTTATGGCTAGCTTTAGGTAATACCACAGTCCTCTGAGTAATGTAGCTTTCAAGAAAGTCTTGCAATCTGGTAGATTAAGTTCTCCAGCTTTATGCTTCTTTTCAAAATACTTTTGGATATTGTAGGTCCTTCATCCATATAAATTGTAGAATCAGTTTCTTAGTTTCTACAGAAAAGCCTGCTGAGATTTTGATTGACGTTGTTTGGAATCTATAGACCAGTGTGGGAAGAATTATCACGCTAACAGTATGGAGTGTTCTGATCCACGAGCTTGATATATTTCTCTTTTTATGTAGGTCTTTAATTTTTCTCTACAATGTTTTGTAGTTTTCCCTGTGGAGGTCTTACATGTATTTTGCTAAATTTATCCCTAAAGAGTTCACATTTTTTGATGCTACTGTAAATGGCATTTTAAAATTTCAATTTCTAATTGTTTGTTGTTAACATTTAAAATCCAATTAAATTTTGTATTTTGAGCTTGTATTCTGCAATCTTGCTAAAACTCATTTATTAGTTGTAGTAACTCTTATAGATTCTTGAGGACTTTTCTACATAGACAATCTCATTGTCTTGCAAATATAGTTTTACTTCTTCCTCTCTGATCTGTATGCCTTTATTTATTTGTCTTGCTGTATTGGACTGGCTGGGGCCCCCCCAGTGCAGTGCTGAACAGACAGTCTTGCCTTGCTCACAATCTTAGGGGGAAAGCAGCCACAGTTTCACCATTAAGTATGACGTTAAATGTAGGTTTTCCTTAAATGCCTTTTGTCAGTAAGATTGAGGAAGTTCCTTTCTACTGTTTTTTCCACATCTTTTTCCGAGATGCTTTTTCTGCATCTACTGAAATAATCATATGATTTTTCTTCCATATTTTGTTAATATGGTGAATTACATTAATGAACTTTCAGATATTAAATTAACCTTGTACTCGGTCATGCTGTCTTACACTTTTTATATAGTGCTGGATTCTGTGTCCTAATACTTTGTTAAGGATTATTGTATCTATTATGAGAAATATTGGTCTATTGTTTTCTTTTCTTGTAATATCTTTGTCTGGTTTTGGTATCAGGGTAATGCTGGCCTAAAAAAATGAGTTGGGAACTGTTCCTTCCTCTTCTGTTTTCTGAAAGAGTTTGTATTAAATTGATATTATATCTTCTTGTATGTTTGGTAGAATTCACCACTGAAGCTGTCTGGGCCTGAAGTTTTCTTTGTGAGAAGATTTTCAACAACAGTTTAATTTATTTTATAGATAGGGGTCTGCTCAGGTTATCTGTTACTTCTTGAGTGATCTTTGGTAATTTGTATCTTTCAAGGAGTTTGTCCATTTGATCTCAGTTGTCAAATTTATTGGCATAAAGTTATATTCCCTTATCCTTTTAATGTCATAATTTATGGAATTTATAAGAATTTATAGAACATATATCTTACAGCTGATATTAACAATCTTTTGCTGATCATTCTGGCTGTATGTTTGCCAATTGTATTAACTTTTCAAAGAAGCAACTTTTGGTTTCATTGGGGTTTTTAAAAAAATTTTATCAACTTCTCTAATCTTTTTTATTTCCTTTCTTCTTCTTCTTCTTCTTTTTTTTTTTTTTTGGTGAGGAAGATCAGCTCTGAGCTAACATCCGTTGCCAGTCCTCCTCTTTTTGCTGAGGAAGACTGGCCCTGGGCTAACATCTGTGCCCATCTTCCTCCACTTTATATGGGAGGCCGCCACAGCACGGCCTGACAAGCGGTGTGTCGGTGCATGCCGGGGATCCCAACCCGGGCTGCCAGCAGCGGAGCATGTGCACCTAACCACTGCGCCATGGGGCTGGCCCCTCTTCTGTTTACTTTTATCTGCTCTTTTTCTAATTTCTTAAAGTGGAAGCTTAGACCATTAATTTGAGACCTTTTTTGTCCTCCTAATATAAAATTTAATGCTTTTAAGTTTCCCTCTAAGCACTGCTTTAGCTGCATCCCTCAAATTTTGATATGGTGTTTTCATTTTCATTCGGTCCAAAAGATTTTCTAATTTCCCTGTGTTTTCTTATTTGACCATTATTAGAAATGTGTTTAATTTCCTAATATTTGGGGATTTTTTCAAATATTTTATTGGTTTCTAATTTAATTGCAGTCAGAGAATATTCTTTGTATTTTTTTTAATTTACCGAGACTTGTTTAATGGTCTGGGTTTGGTCTAGCTTGATGTTTCATGTGCACGTGTGTGCAATTGTTGAGTGGTGTCTTCTGTGAATGTGAATTAGACCAAGTTGGCTGATAATGTCGATCCAACCTGCTACATCCTAACTGATTTCTTTTTTTTTGCGAGAAAGATCAGCCCTGAGCTAACATCCGATGCCAATCCTCCTCTTTTTTGCTGAGGAAGACTGGCCCTGGGCTAACATCTGTGCCCATCTTCCTCCACTTCATATGGGATGCCGCCAAGGCATGGTTTGACGAGCAGTGCGTCAGTGCACCCCTGGCATCCGAACCTGCAAACCCCAAGCTGCCAAAGCGGAGTGCGCACACTTAACCGCTGTGCCACCGGGTTGACCCCCTAACTGATTTCTATCCACTTGTTTTATGTCGTTAAGACAGGGCTGTTAGAATGTCCAGCTATAATTGTGAATTTGTCTATTTTTTTTGCTGTCCGATCAGTTTTTGCTTCATGTATTTTGAAGCTTTTATTAGATGCATACCCATTTAAAATTATGTCCTTTTGATTAATCAATCCCTTTATTATGAAGTGCACCTTGCTTTAAAATCTACTTTGATATCAGCTTTATTTTGATGAGTGTTTACGTGGCATTTTTTTCCATCTTTTTACTTTTAACTTATATGTCTTTATATTTAAAGTTGATTTCTGGTAACCAGCATATAGTTGGATATTGCTTTTTTATCCATATGGCAATCTGCCTTTTAACTGGAGTGCTTAGACCATTTACATTGAATGTGATTATTGATATGGTCAGGTTTATTAAATCTTCCATCTTGCTACTTGTTTTATGTTTGTCTTATCTGCTCTTTCTTTTTTTTTCCCTCCTTACCTCCTTTTGGGTTAATTGCATTTTTTTTTTTTTTTTGAGAAAGATTAGCCCCGAACTAACATCGGCTGCCAATCCTCCTCTTTTTTGCTGAGGAAGATTGGCTCTGGGCTAACATCCGTGCTCCTCTTCCTCTACTTTATATGGGACACCACCACAGCATGGCTTGACAAGCAGTGTGTCGGTCCGCCCTTGGGATCTGCGAACCCTGGGCCACCGAAGCGGAGCACACGAACTTAACTGCTACAGCACTGGGCAGGCCCCTTAATTACATATTTTTAATGATTCTATTTTCTCTCCATTATTGACTTCTCAGCTATACCTTTTTGGTTTTGTCATTGCTGTAGGATTTACAAGTGCATCTTTTACTTCCACAGTTTACCTTCAAATATTGTACCTCTTATATCACTTGATGTCTAAGAAACTTAAAACAGAGTACTGCCATTTCCGCCTCTTTTATGCTAATTTTGTCATACCTTTTACTTCTATATATATTATAAACCCCACAATTAAAGTGTTATTGTTTTGCTTTAAACAGTCAATTACCTTTTAAAGAGATTTTTTTTTAATAAGGAAAAATGTCTTTTATATTTACCCATATACTTACTTTCTTAAAAAATTAGGTGCTTTTGTTTGTTTTGTTTTTTTTAATTCTTCCAGAGTCAGTGAGAAGGATCTAGAAGGGTCAGATGCAAGATAGGAAAAGAATGATCCATAAGGTCCATAGCAGCCATAAAGGGATGGGCCTTCAGATGGATGAGTGACTTCTCTGTTGTAACAGGAGGAGGGTGGGGAAAGAGTGCAGATATGAGTAAGTTTATATTTGGTATCAGGGTAATGAATTTCCTTTCTAATGGCTTCCTCTTTTTTCTTATAAAATGAGTGAGAGTGAGGAAGGAAATAGAGAAGTGGAAAACAGTCGTTGCTGGGGGAGGCTAGTGTGCTGACCTGAGAACTGTAGCAGGGTTACCAGGCCTTTTGATGATCCTTTTGATGATGATGAATTACTATGGGACCAGTGTAGCTTTCTCTGTGTCTTTGGCTACTTGGGTTTAGATAAGAACAGAATCGAGTATTGGCTTTATCAGAGTTCACGTTTTGATAGTTGTGGAAAGTCAGAAAAAGAAGTCTAAGATATTGCAGAGAGTGTTATTGAATGGTGGACTTCATGCTCTGAGCTGAATGGCTAAGATACTATTCCACACTTGTAGCTGGAACAGTTGAACAAGCAAACGAGCAAGTGAAGCTGAGATGTGGGTGATTTTGGAGATGGAGCAGCTCTGGGTGATGATAAGGAACATGGTCTGGCCTTGGAGCGGATAGCTCAAGAGGAGTGAGAAGGAGATCTTGGGAAGATAAGGAATGGAAAGGCTGCGGTTACTAACCTGGGGTGATGGCTGGGCTGTGTGGCGAAGACAACTATCAGATAGTTGCCAAAGTCTTTGGAGAATGAGAGCCAGTTTGGCAAATCAGTCCCCAGTGGGTGTTTTCTAATTTTTTATTGTTGTTGATTTTTGATAGGAAGCAGTGACAGCAGTGTATGCTTTGCTACTAGTGATTTTCCTTCTGAGATCACCCCAAATGGGCAGCAGTCTCAGGATGTACAGAGAAAAGAAACATTTCCCAGTGTAGCTGAAGAGGCCATCTGGAGAATGATAAAACAAACACCTGAGTGCATTCTAATGACATACCAGGTGCCTGACAGGTAAGAGAGCACTTTAGAAGATCCACTTCTATTTGAGTTATTTAATGATTTCTTTCTCTTTTTTTGTGAGGGAGATTAGCCCTGAGCTAACATCTGTTGCCAATCCTCCTCTTTTTGCTGAGGAAGACTGGCCCTGGGCTAACATCCATGCCCTTCTTCCTCTATTTTATGTGGGACGCCACTACAGCATGGCTTGACAAGTGATGCGTAGGTCGGCACCTGGGATCCAAACCGGCGAACCCCGGGCTTCCAAAGTGGAGTGTGTGAACTTAACCGCTACACCACTGGGCTGGCCCCTTTAATGGTTTCTTAAGAATAATTTTTAAATGTATTTATATATATACCTTTATAGACATGTATTTTCAAATTCATTCATCCTGAGTCAAATGATGAATGGTTTCTTAAAACAGTGGTTATGGTGGTAGTGCCACACATATTCGGATCCAGACTAAACAAACATTATGTATCCTGAGACCAGAAAAGAAAGGCAGTGCTTTCAAGATGGCACACAAGTACAAGAACTTTTCTTTTTAGACTCTGGTTGTTTTTTTTCCCATTCTAAGAGAATAGAAGAACTAAGGGAAATCTGTTTCTTCTATATGCCTCGTTAAAACACTCTACAGATGTTTCCACCAAGAAAAAGAGGCCTCGCTTTACCAACTTGATGAAGAAATGATTCAGTTATTTTTTAATGTGTACATCATATATTAACATGCGATATACCAAAAAGAAGTGCTATTCTTAGATGACATGATAAGAACTCTATGCCTCAGGGCTATTTAGGTTGTATTTGTTTGTTTTTAGGGTTAAAGAAATTGTACTGGAAGAAGACCTAGAAAAGCTAGAAAGCATGAGGCAGCAACAGCCACAGTTTTCTCACGGACAGAGGGAGGAGCTGGCCACGGTGCATTCTTGGAGTCAGAGCCAGACTGTCCCTCAGGAAATAGACCTCCAGGTAAGCACAATAATGCAGCTGTCGTATAGAGGTGGGTTTATTCCAGGTAGTGTTGTAGGCACTCAGTACATACTGCGTCATCCCACTGAAGCTTTAGTCCTCACAGTTAGTTCTGTGGTAGGTGCGATTGTCCCTGCTTTACCAGTAAACAAACAGCAAAGTAAGGTGTACAGATATTAGATAATTTGTATAAGATTACACAGTTCATCATCAGATTTTGAATACAGGTGTTTTGACTCCGAGTGTTTTTTTCTCCCACCAGTTGGAATGGTTAAGGGGCAGTAAGGAGTAAAGACACTGCTTTGATCTATGATTGACTGGAAAGGAGAGGTGTAAGAGGTTCACATTTCAAATATGCATGCATGTTTGAAAAGAGTTAAAACTCCAGATGTAAGATTCGCACCAGGGGTAGTGTTCATACTTGGAAGCCAAGTGGTCTTTTTGCTGTCATGAGGTCTTCTCAGTGAGATTAGGTGTGAACAGCCTGAACACTGCAGCTGTGATTCACCAGTGGTCCCAGCAGGGGGCTTGGGGCTGATGGTGGTGACAGTTGTACTAGTAATGAGGTCTTTATTCCCACAAGATTTGGGAGGTGATGTGTGAAGTTAAAAATTATAACAAGAGAATGAAGTTAGGTGTTCAAAAAAGTGTGATATGAAGACTTATGAGGTAAACATGTCATTGGGATCCTCCCCACCCTCCGTTTTTAAAGAAAAGAATGAGTGCCTGCCGGTGACGAGCAGTTAGATGTGGTCTCACCAAAAAGCAGGGGCTGGGCTGATTACTGTAAGTGTCTTTATTTTTTAAATATTGTTTGTCTGGTTTTTGAGTAGAAGGGTATGTGAAGAATGAACCCTAAAACAATTTAAACACAAGTATTTAAAAAGTTGCTGTCATTTACCTTCTAATAATAAGGAATGAACTAATAATGGATCTTCTTAGACATGAGTGAGTTGGGGAATTAGACATAGGTTGTGGGCCAGGATTTTATTGGTTTTGAAACTTTTCAGATGACATTATGTCAAATAACTTGCCTGCTCTTGTTCTTTTTTGGAGGGCTGTGTCTCTTGCAAAAACAAAGATTCAGTTGGTGATGCTACAGAGTCCTGTGACCAAGAGCCAGCACAAGACAGCAGTTGAGCGACCATGGAGATGTGCCTGCACACCCTTTCCAGGACCTGCTGGACAGCTAGACCTCTGTGTGTGTTTCTTTAAACCCCTGACTCTTAAGTGACCATAAGGTTATCATTGAATGTTAAGGTTTTTCTTTCTTGACTTTTTAATAGACGTTTTTCTGAAGCAGACATTGTATATAGAATCTTTTCCTCTCTTTGTTCCCAATGTATTAAAACTGTCAATTAGGCTCTTTTTCTAGTTGATCTGTCTTTTTTTTTTTAAAACAGTTTTATTTATTTATTTATTTATTTTTTGTGAGGAAGATCAGCCCTGAGCTAACATCCATGCTAATCTTACTCCTCTTTTTGCTGAGGAAAACCGGCTCTGAGCTAACATCTATTGCCAATCCTCCTCCTTTTTTTTCCCCCCAAAGCCCCAGTAGATAGTTGTATGTCATAGTTGCACATCCTTCTAGTTGCTGTATGTGGGACGCGGCCTCAGCGTGGCTTGAGAAGCGGTGCTTTGGTGCGTGCCCAGGATCCGAACCTGGGCCGCCAGTAGCGGAGCGCGCGCACTTAACCGCTAAGCCACGGGGCAGGCCCTTAGCTGTCTTTTAAAGAGATCGGATGGCCTCTAAAGACGTATGTGTACTGCAAAACTTTATTTCAGGTGTCACCCAAAATAAATTATAATTAGAAGTGTAGCTAGGAGGAGCCCCAAACCTTAGCCTCCTGTACCCTGTTCTGCTGTTACAGAAATCATTTTCCCCAGTAGAGTACCTGAAGGAATCCCAGCCACAGGCCATACACTTTTCCTAATGATCCAGTAATTTAGTACATTCATCTAGTCTCCATACTTAAGATCAAACAGTCCAGGTTTTGACAACACAAATCACTTTAGTATTTACCAGTGTTAAAATATATTGCCCATTGGTATACTGGAAGTTCCTGGTTTTTAGGGTTGAATTTTGACCTTCCTTGTAGATGCTTTTCCTTTTGATTTTCTACCTTCCACTGAAACTCGGAAAGTCTTACCTTAAAAATCAATCAGCTTACAATGGGCTTGTCCCTTGGACAGTTTAATGAGCTTTTGCATGTGTAAAGTTAAAACAAAAGAGTTTCTGACTCAACCAGTGGTGTTTCCCTTTTTAATGTTTTTGTTTTTAAAATAATGATTGTAAAAGTCTCAAAAGTTATGTAAAAATTAATATTATTCTTATACGTGTATGTATTTAAATGTTGTCTTACCAAAACGAACAGTGAACTTTTTCTTTGCAACCAATTTACACAAAAGAGGTCTCGTCATCCCTGTCAGAGGTCTGATTGGCAGGGCCTTTTGTTTCCCCTTAATCAGGGGTAAGTGTTGAAGGGGCTGCACAGTGACTATGGGGTCCCGGGAGCTCTGCAGTCCTCGCCAGGGGGTCAGAGTCTGCCCTAAGTCAGTGCTTCCCACACGGCCATAGTTGTCTCTTAAGAGTGAGTGCATTGTACTTGCTAAGTCAGCTCCCCTTTCTTGAGAGAAATGGGTGGTTCCTTCTCACACGTGGAACGACATATGCAATTCACACTCGTGCAGATCAGAACAAGGACTAGAAGAAAGTGAAGATTACAGTAACTTTTTGTCTTTTATGTAACATACAACAAACTAACTTATATTTCTTTTTTTGTTGTGTTTTTTTCATTTTTTTTGTTTTAGGAAAAACACTTCCTCCTTTCAAGTTTTATAGCTTTTTATAAAAATGCATTCTGATGATAATTAAGAGAATCGACCTTTTTATCCACGATGACTGCTGGACCCTGATTCTCAATCCTCGTAGTTTAGATTTCCTTTCTAAAGTAGTAGTTTCCTGGAAGGTAATTCTGTCTTAAGGTGTCAGAACCATTTTCAGATGCTGCCTGTGACATTTATTGGAATTTTCTAATATTGAGCAGTTCCATGCAAATATTCCTCTTTTGAGAATAGACAGCTCTCACAGTCTACTCCATCTTGACTATTAAATGATTTCTGATGCCTTTGTTGTGTTGGTCAAGTCGTGTGGTATTTTTGCCCTTGGTGAGAAACTAAATTTCAAAAAATTAATCATCCTGAATATTGTCCATCGGTGTAATCATTGTGTCTATCTGTAGTGATAAAATTTTTAATTTCTGTAAATCAGAAATGACATGTAACTACCAAAGGATCATTCTGAATTCCTGTTTGCATTTTTTAAACCTTGTGTTCTCTAATAATATAAGTCCTTCTTTTCCATTCTTTCTGGATATTTGTTTTATCTAAATTTGCTCATTTCTTTGCCTTAGTACACATTTTATGGCGTGTGTATTATCATAGGCTTGATTTGAAAGTGGTGCTTGTTGTAGGCAGACCTGTAAAACCATTTATGATTCTTGTATTGGTAATTAGATTAGTTGGTGTGTTTAGAGACTGGACACGATGCCCTTGCTGCTGAGGGTGACTGGAGGAAGCTCAGCAGTGACAGCAGCCGCCCCCCAAGGGGGCTTCACCAGATTGTAACCTTTGTTGTTCACGTTTATTAACTTTTGTATTAATGACTATAGAAATTGGTAATAGAAATGTATATTATTGGCTTCAGTATTTACAAAAATGTTACCCAAAAGGCTGTATTTTTCTTGGATAAGAGGTTAGGATTTGTGAAAAAGAGAAAGCTGTGTGAATGGAATCATTTTGCAATTAAGTGAAAACTTCATTATAATTCACAAGGTAAATTTAATCCAAATTGGAATTTTGTTTCAACTGAATTTATAATTAATTGTGTGAATCTACTTGTTTTTAATGGTTATTAATATTTTAATTGGGTATCTTTTTTTAAGTAAAAACAACAAATAAACTGTATATATGTAAAACTTAAGAAATTTTCTCAGTGACACCTTGCGTTGCCTTGTCACCTGTGCCCAAGCTCCCGCTGTGTGGACGATACTGGCATTTTCAGGTTCATTATCTTATTGAATTCTCACTTCAGCACCGTGAAGTGCTGAATTTATTGGCTCCTGAGCATGTGTACATATTTTCAGTACTAATTTTAATGCCTAATTTATAAAATTCAGTTAACAAAATTACTCTTTCCTATTCTGTAGAGTGAACCTGTGTTTCACAAGTCTGTGTAATAGGCAGCAACAGAATCCCAAAATTAAAATATGGGAGAAGATCCTGAAGCCAACAGGACTTTTTTGTGTGTGTGTGAGGAAGATCAGCCCTGAGCTAACATCTATTGCCAATCCTCCTTTTTTTCCCTTTTTCTCCCTAAAGCCCCAGTAGATAGCTGTATGTCGTAGTTGCACATGCTTCCAGTTGCTGTATGTGGGACGCGGCCTCAGCATGGCCGGAGAAGCAGTGACTCAGTGCGCGCCTGGGATCCGAACCCGGGCCGCCAGCAGCGGAACTCGAGCACTTAACCGCTAAGCCACGGGGCCGGCCCCCCAACAGGACTTTTTAAATGTCACACCTTTCAAATCATCTGCACCTTTGTCTAACAAAACAGCAATAACAATAGCAAGAAGAAAAAGCAGCTCCGTGTTTATTGATGGACACGACTCGAGTGCTCTCCATGAGGTCCTTCGTTTAGTGCTCACGCGCGCCCGTGCAGGGAGCATGGCTCTTCTGGTTTCCCAGAGCAGGACGCGGAGGTGGAGGGAGGCCTCACGGCTGTGCATTGGGACCAGGGATTGTAACGAAGGGGACTGACTCCAGAGCCCTGTCTGTGAGAGTAATTGCCTCACGTTGCTAAAACAGGGGCGGGATGTTGGAATTATACTACAGTGGAATTCCACCTTGATTCTTTCTGGTTTCATAAATATTAAATAGTTTCATGGTGCCCAAGTTCTGTGTTAGAGAACTAGTACTAGTTTAATTTCAGCAGTGAGGGGTACGCCACAGTGTTGCCATAGCTGTACTTAATGTCAGCGCGTTTCTGAAGTTACACATCCATTCCCCAAGTTGAAAACATCTTTCCATATAGATTTATTCTCAATATCTTAAATAAGGAAAGTGAAAGATTAATCAAACCTGTGCTCTGTAAGAGATTTTTGATATTTGTTGACAAGATCAGTACCAGTTATGTGTGGCTGTTTGGTGCAGACCTGACACTTCATTCCTCCTAAGTGGCGTGGTGGAGGAGTGGCAGAGCTGAGGAGGGAAGCTCACGTTTCTCACTAGAAATTCAGTTCTCCCTGTATGCATGGTTCTGAGCCGGAAGCTACACCGAGCTCTCGGGAGCTCGCACTGTATATTGTATACATATATAAGCTACATTTATAGAGATGTATTAATGGAGTATGTTGGTTTGTACACACACATAAGTGGTTTTTAAAAATTAACAAACCAGGCTATTTCTTCCATTTCACAATCTTAAATCCCACCTCAGCTTTCTTCTCACTATAAGAAACAGATTATGAAGGTGTTTTTCTGGTATAAATGAACTGTGATCCTTGAGGCCACGGGAACTGAGATCAAACAAGTTAAGAGATTAAAGTTCTCAAGTGTTCAATACTGTGGTCAGCTGAGGGAAGGGGCCTGAGCACGTGAACGTCAGGAAACTCAGGGAAGCTCAGACTTCCCAGCCCTCATCTTGAGGCATCCTTCACTTTATAGAGATTTTTCCAAGCTAAGACACTGATATTTTTTTAAGTAATAACTTATATTGTCATTTTTAAGGATTGAGTGGACATCGTAGGTAAGATGATGTAGTTTATTTAAATGATTTGTAAACTATTTTAAGTAAATTTTACTTTTATAACTTTTTCTTCTTACTATTTGCTTCTGTTAATTTATTAGCTTTACTTTTAAATTTTCAGAGACTTCTTTAAGAATAAATTGATGGAAAGAAAAATTATAGATTTTCAGGATATGTTTCTAAGTAAAATAACCACTCATGATATTTGCAAAACATATAGGTTTTATTTTCCAAACAATAATGAACAGAGTATAGTCTGCCTAGTTTTTCTTCTATACTGTTTTCAAATCAAGCGTTTTTATTTGTAGTTTTCTAGCATGGTTGCTTTTGAGTTGACTAGCAGATATTGATTTTACTTCAGACGCAGTATTTCCAGAAGCATTCAGGAGGAGACCCACGTTTCTTATATTGTTTCCTGATTCTGGCCAAAAGATGACTCCGTAAGATGTTAGGATCTTGTCCAGAGAAAGCCCGAAACTGAAACAGTGCAAACAAGAAGACAGGGAGGTTATCAATGAAGTAAGAGTCCTACACAGAAAAGGAACTTGAGTCAAGACGTAGGACCTCTACAAAGTGTCCACTCTTGTCCTGTTCTAGGTAACTGCAGTGAGAGCCCAGTGTGGCGACTTGAAGGGCTCCTGTGACCAACGAGAGCACCATGCAGTCTGTTTAGCCCTGTGACTGCCATGAATTTTCCTAAACCCCCACTGACCTATTTCTGTTTAAATAATTAGTAACATGTTCTGTACATTTATCTTCTGTGTAAAATAGATCTTTTATCTGTCTTGAAATTAACTTCTTTAAGTGTGGATCCTTAATTTTCTTTTTATTCTAGAATTTCATGAGCAAATCCTACTAAGCACCTTTATGATTCTAGAATCTTTAAGTATAATCTTTCTATTCAGAAGAATATGAACATCTGAATGATAACTTCTAACTAGTCACACATAGAAGCCGCACCATCCCCTTCGGGTGGTTTTATTCCACTTGGGACTCCGGTGCTGTATGCCACCTCCAGGATTGAGTGTTTCCAGAGTATATTTTTACAAGGATGTTAATGGATACTACACCAAAAAAGATATCTCTGGTCAAAATGTTTGGGAAGTGCTTAGTTATAAGTTTATCTCCTGATTTCCTGGAGGCTTTAACGTGCTATTTACACAAAGAAACACCAGGACGAGAGAGGGGCTAGAACACAGTGCTGCCCCATAGACTGGCTCGTGGCACTGGTATCCCCAGAAACCCCTTTAGGAAACACTAATTTAGAGTTTGGGGGGTGATAATGATCGAATATAGATTTTCCTTCTGGCATGTAAGGCCCTCCGTTAATGGTGCACCGTTTCTAACCGTTCAATGTTATCCGTCATCATTCCGTATCACGGTCTTTCCACTGCGCCTGCAGTACTTTTCTTCGTGTTCTGCTCTCTACTGCACGTGTTCCATTTCAATGTTTTGAGCATTTCATTCTTCCATTTAGATGTAATATTGCAGTGCTTTTCAAATGTTAACGTGCATACGAACCACCAGGGGATCTTGTTAAAATGCAGATTTTGATTCAGTTGGTGCTGGGGGCTGAGATTCTGCGTTTCTCACAAGCGTCCAAGGGATACCAGTGCTGCCGGTCCTGGGACCACACGTGGAGGTGATGAAGGAGCGGCACATGTGGGTGACAACCTTGCGAACAGGGACCTTATCTATTTTTTATTCTCTTAAACTTGTTATAATAATATATCCAAAACAGGCATTGGATAAGTTCTTGTTGTATTCACATTTTACATGAATCAAATTTGGAAAAATTAGTGCTTTGAAATAACACTGACTGGCCAATTATTTTAAGGTGTAATTTCCACCAGGAATGCTTGTCTAGTTCATGACTTTAGGATCCTCTAAAGTCAAGGTATGGAATGTTCCCCCTTTTTTTGTTTTTGCTGAGAAAGATTAGCCCTGAGCTAACATCTGTGCCAGTCTTCCTCTATTTCGTATATGGGTCGCTGCCACAGCATGGCCGACAGTGAGTGGTGTAGGTCCCCACCCGGAAACTGGGCCTGGGCCACCAAAGCAGAGTGTGCCAAACTTAACCGCTAGGCCCCAGGGCCAGCCCCTGGAATGTTCCCCTTTTTTAACCTGACGATCATAGAATCACTTACCTTTCCCATACTTCCTCTTGGGTTAACAATGTTGGTACTGAGATCTGGAAAACAATATTTTGAAACCATTCATCATCAGATCTCTTGTTTCTATTCTATGCTTGTTTTATTTAAAACATACCAAATAGAATGTTACTAAATCTTGTCTAGTTTCTCATCTTCCTTTTTTCCCCACGCAGCCGTATTTACTTGAAGGAAGATAGGCAGCAGCCTCATTCTTTCTTGCCTGTGGGGTTCACAGAGGGCACTGCATTTTCCTCAACAAGTGAGCAGTTCAGTAGTTTATCAAAAATATAACGAATGAACTTTCTATTAAACAATGTCTATTAAAAGACTCCTTTTTTTTTCCAGAGTCCTGAGCACTGTGTCAGTGCTTGGAGGAATGCAGTCGTGGAGAAATTATAGTAGAAGCTGATGTTTTGTTGAATTCTTTGCGTGTGACTGTGCTGAACATTTTACTTGCATTTTCTTGTTGACTCTTCACAATAACCATATAAGGTGAGTATTTTTATCATTCCTTTTTACTGATTAAGAAACTGAAGTACAGAAAAATTAAGTGATTTGCTTAAGGTTTTAGTAAGTGGGAAACCAGGATTTAAAATTGCGCTTATTGGAAACTGGGATAATACTTCCCTTCTCTCCAAAATAAAAGTCCGTACAGAAAAAGATTATGCCGAGGTGCCAGGTGGAGCACAATGCTTGCAAGGAGTTGTGGAGAAGAAGAAAACATAGGGAGCCTGTACCGGGAGGGGAGTGTTGGGTAATTAATTTACTTATTTTATGTAGCTCCTCTTTATGTTCCAAAATAGGGTTATACCTCATCTAATAGATGAGAATAAAGAGCAAATTCTATACCAATAAAGTCAGACAGCTGTGAACACAAGAATCGTTTTACCTGCTTTCTGAAGGCCGTCACCTGTCTCTGCCCCTGACGTCTCCGGCAGCATCTGCAGCAGGGCCAGTCTTTCCAGCTCGTCCAGAGTGGATCTTGCGTCTGCGGCAGCTGCTACACAGGGCAGTGAGAGCAGTAACTCAGTTCAGGCCTCAGGTATTTCTGCTCCCTGCTGTCTTCTCGGGGGTGCCAGGGACAGGGAGATAATACTGGAAAACCTCAGAGGCTAAGTTCGTGATTTGTCGTCAGTGATTTTAACAGGAGTGGAGATGCTGCAGTCCAGGGTGCAAGCCAGCAGAACAGAAAATCAGGAGGAGCAGACTCGATTCCGGCTCCTTCTGCCTCTGTGACCTTGCACAGCTGCTCACTGCCTTGAATAGGAGGGTGGAGCTGAGCCACAGGGTCAGTTAAGACACGTTTCCACTCAGAAAGCAGTTCCTCCTCCTTTCTCTTTCTCAGCTGCTGCCTATTGCCTTTTGCTTTTAGGTATTCGGGTGGTAAAATTGGAGTAAGAGGAAAAAAAGAGCGGTTTTCTAAAAGACAAGATTACTTATGTTCTTCCTATAAAGCAAATGGCATGGCATCACCTCTTATCTCTCTAGCCTTCAAGATTTAGATACAATTATTATTAGAAAAGAGTCAGCTTTAAAATACTCTTCAAAGAACTTGGTGGTAACATTTCCAGTGTGAAATTCGGTCAGCTTAATGGCATATAAGATGTGTGGTAAGTGTGTGCAAGATGTGTGTGTAAGGTGTGTATGCTAGAGTGTAAGGAAAGTGCGTGTGAGGTGTGGTAAGTGGAGGCTTGGCACCAGGATGGCTCTCTTGGCTGGTGCTGCTGTGTTGAGATTGGAGGCTCTCGGAGTCCTAACACCGGCGTGCTGAAGACTGACAAATACTTAGCCACAACCTTGATTGGAAGACAATAAACAAACCATCATAAAGGCATCTGAGCACATTCACAGTATTTCTGAAAATTAATGACAGTCTGTAAAATTTGGCCACGTGTTTATGTCATGAAGGATCATTTATGGGGAAATAAATAAATGAGAAAAAAATTCAGGCAAAAACTCTAAGGTAAGCTGCCACCTGTTTAGAATTTGTGTGAGATGCTATACTCATTTCATCTAAGTTTTTCTTAATCATGATATGTAAGATGACAGTAATATCTGAATGTTTATTCTTAATTTCATCTTGTGCTTTTCACCATTCTTTTTTAAATAGCAGAGATTCAATCAAGTTAATGCGTGTTTTTGACTTTTAAGACCTGCCCTTTATGAGCTCAGTGACTCCAGAAGTTGATTAACAGTGCATGATTGATAGTGCGTGATTGATGGTGTATGATTGATAGTGCGTGAATGACCACAGTGCTGACAGTTGTCAGAAAGCTGCTTGGGAGAAACTGTAGAGGCTAGAAATTATCAAATCAATGGCTTAGAAGAGTTTTTTCCTTTATTTTAAAAGAAATGTCTAAAAAATTAAAGACAAGATAAAATCCAGTTAAAATGTTTATGGAGCCTTAATCCAAGCATCAATCTTTTCACTTCTTAAACTAAATTAATAGGTAATGGTAATAGCAAAATAAGTATCTGCTTGACTGATTGATAGGTTTATTTTAAAATTCAACTTAGACTTGAACTGAGTGAAACATAAACCAAGGAAAAGATAACATATACTTGGAAATCTGCGACGTCCCTACCTCCAGCTTCTCACTTTTTTATGTTTTGATAAGCATTTTTGTTTCTTATAACACATGTCAGATGATTACTTTTTAACTTAAGATAAAATAAAAATATTTTAAATCTGCTATTGGAACAACCAAATTCTACATTCAACCAGTTTATTTAAAATAAAAACTAAAAGTAATGATGTCTTAAATTTAGTGCAATTTTTAAAATTGAAAAAAAAGCTGACCAAAAGTTTGAATTACAGAATTGACATGAAAAAAGCGATGCTACCCTTGTCTTGTATTTTAGAAAGAAAAAGACTGTATCCATTACTGAATCTGAATGTGCTTTAAGGATTCTCTGGTATTCTCTTCATAGCTGAGACTGTTAATTTAACAAGACTCCTTTAAGCAAGAATTCCCATTCTCATCTCTAACATTGCATTTAAGACCCTTGAAGACTCTTTCGAGACTAACATAGAGGAAAAAATTCACCTTACCTAAGAGCTGCAGGGACCCTTCCCTGGAGTCAGGGACAGGATGAGATAAGAGAGGATTTAAGAATCCTATGAAAAGCACACAGCAGAAGACCAGCTTATACATGATTAGCAGAGGTAGAAGTCTTCCTTCTTGGCTTCTGTTGTCCAGAACCTTCAACTTGCTCCTTCTGTGATCAGTGATTATATATATTATCCTATGACCTCATATTATCCCCTCCAAAAAAATTAGTTTATTGGCGATGGAGGCTAAAAGGCAATCACTTTGCACTGATGTAATTTTTCAAAGTAACAACTCATAGACAATAAATTTACTGTCTTGTCTAGTGTACAAAATAGGTATTATAAAAAGAAAATACTGTTAAGTTTATAAATCTGGCAAAAGGAGTAACTTAAAGCAATAAATCATGAGTTAAAGAAAGGGTCAGACACAAGTTGAAGTGGCCAAGGCAGAGACGTGGACTGATGAGTCCTCCCAGAGGGTGCAGGGCATGCCGTGAAATGTGCCGTTTCCTGTCTTTAATTTTCATGAGTGAATAGATGGATCGTCCTGTTGTGTTTGGGCTGCCAGCCCCGAAGAATGACAATGCGTGTACTTTAAAATAGCGAAGATAAGTTAAAATGCACAGCAAAGATTATGGCTCAAGGCAGGTTCTGTACGTACACTTGGCCTCACATAAAACTACAAGTACGTGAGTCTTCAGAGAAAGGAAATAACTTTCCTTAAAATAGGATATTGTTCATCAAGGAGGGATGAACAAGCCTGAAAACCTTGCTGATAAATATTTCCATAATTTCCCTGCTGCTCACCACTTCCACTCTGCCTGGGTTGTCCAAGCCTGGACTGTTGCAGTAGTCTCCTCACCAGTGTCCTTGCTTCTGCGTTCTGCCCCTCTAGTCTCATCTTAACACAGCCAGACCAGTGATGCTGTTAGCCCATAAGTCAGATCAGATCAGTTCTTAGCTCAAAACCCTGTATTGACCTGAACATAAAAGTTAAAACTACAGAATTGCTAGAAAAAAAAACACGAACAGCCTCACAACCTTGGGGTAGTCAAATATTTCTTAGAGAGGACACCAACCAGGTAAGAAAAAAATGGGTAAATTGGACTTCATCGAGATAGAAACATCTGCTCTTTGAAAGATATTGTTAAGAAAATGAAAAGACCAGCCACAACTGTGAGAAAATATTCACAAAACATATGCCTGACAGAAGCCTTTCCAGGATTTAGATAAAGAACCACAACTCTATAAGCCAGCAACTCAATTAAAGAATGGGCAAAAGGTTTGAACAGATGCTTCACAAGAGAAGGTAGGCAAGTAGTTAATAAGGACATGAAAAAGTACTCAACATCATCTTCACCAGAGAAATGCAAATTAAAATCACAAGGAGATGCTGGCGCACGCCCACCACAACCACAGCAGTCAAAAAGACCAACACCACCAAGTGTTGGTGACGGTGCAGAGCACCTGGGTGGGAACGTAAACAGTACAACCTCGCTGGAAAACTGATACTGTCTTGTAAAGTTAAACATACACTAAACTATGCAACCCAGAAATCCCTCTCCTAGGAGATACCCAAGAGAAATGAAAACACATCCAACAAACAAGTGTTTGTTCACAGCAGCTTTGTTCGTAGTAGTGGAAGTTGTAAACAACCCACGTGTCCATCAGCGGTGAGTGGGCAAGCGAGCTGTGCTGCCTCGTGCATTGGAATTCTACTTAGCAGTACTGAGGAACTGCTGATGAACACAGCAGGGGGGGATTTCAGAAACTTTATGCTAGATAAAATAAGCCAGACCCAGAAGAGTACATATGGCATGATGCCATTTAAATGAAATTCTAGAATAGCCAAAACGAATCCATAGCGTCAAAAGACAGTTCAGTGGGAGATGGAGGGTTGACTGTAGGGGGACAAGGGAACTTTGGGCAGGGATGAAGATGTTTGATGGAGGCAGCGGTTATATGGATATGTACACTGGCCAGAACTCATCACGCTGCGCGCCTATAATGGGCACGTTTTATTGTATGTAAATAATACCAAATAAAGTTGATTGTGTTCTAAATCTCCATTGGCTCCTGATTCCAGTTTTTACTTCTTCCAATGCTGCTCTCCCCTTACAACTCCACTCCAGCCTTCTGTCTCCTTTCTGCTCCTGAACACACGCCTGCCTCAGGGCATTTGCAGTGGCCACTCCCCCTGGAGTGCACTTTCCCCAGACAGGTGCCTGGCTCTCTTCCTCGCCTCCTTCAAGTGTTTGCTAAAATACTACCTCCTGCAGGGGGCCTCCCTGACCCTGCCATTTAGAAATCGCAGCCAATCCACCCAGCTTTACTCGTCACTCTTAGCTCCCTCTGCTTTTTCCATAGCACTTAGCTCCTAACACACGTTATATATGTTATGTAATTGTTACACACAGTAGGCACTCGGTAAATGTTTGTTGGATCAGTGATGAAGCACCGACATGTGTCAGACCTTGTTTAGGGTAAAGAGTGGTGAACAAAAGAAGTGTCTACTCTCGTGAACTTTCTAACGGGAGGAGACAGGCAACAAAATAAACGTCTGCTGTGATCCTTTTTATTGCCATGAAAGGAATAAAGCAGAGTGAGGAGACAGCACGGTGGGCAGATGGGCAGGGGAGGTGTCACCTCCATCAGGGCAATCAGGAGGCCTCAGGGAAGGGGACAGGTAAGCAGAGACCCAAATGGAGGAACCCACGGAGGAAATCGAGGAGCAGCGGCCAGGGAGGCAGGAGGAGTGTTAGAAGAAGAGTCCCAGTGCCAGGTGGGGACATGCTGCTGCCAGGCTGGGCAGTCGTCCAGCAGGACTCCTGGGATGGGCAGCACACGCGTCGTTGCTGCCTCCACAGGTCGAGGTCAGGGCCATTTCACACTCTCACATGTGTGTTGGGTGGAAGGTGGTCGTCTTCCTCAGACTCCTCCATTTGTTCCCCAGGCATCTCAGTGCCTATGATGTGCCAGCACTGCCAGGTGGGGGACACAGCGTAGACCGAGGGGACAGAAGGTGGCCCTCAAGAACCTGACGGCCGGATTGGGGCCTATAGAAACCACTGGGAGCCAGCTTAAGGAAATAAAGTATATTGGAAAGACACAGGGTATCTTCCAGAATTTGAGGAACTGTGCAGTAGTAGGAACCAGAACCCCACTAGGAGCTAGAGAGAGGAATTCACACCTGACCTCTGACCTCTGACCTCTGTCTTTCAGTGACTTGACCCCTCACTTACTCTGCCTGTCTGTCTGTCTGTCTGTCTGTCTGTCTCTCTCTCTCTCTCTCTCTCTCTCTCTCGCTCGCTCGCGCGCGCGCGCGTTCTGTAGTTTCTTGCCTTGGCATCTCTCTGTCCATATATATCTCGTTCTTTTTCTCTTGGCAGAACTGGTTTTCTTTTCTTTTCCACTAATATTTGGCAAAGCATACCCCCACTGCTGAAATTTACCTTTCTTCAGTTTAAGCAATCAGCTTACTTTTACACGTTGTTTTTCTTTATCTTTAAGTCCAATTTACAAATTCCTAAGAGAGAGGGTCTGAGCGGCCCAGCTCAGCTGGGCTTTTGCTGAACTCCCCTGCGGGAGAGGGTACCTAGGGGAGCTATTTGCAGACGAGAGGATTGTGCCCCAACAGACATACCAAATGGACTACAACATGGCAAGTGCCAAAAGATATTTATGCCCATTAAGACTGCTTTGAGAAATACACCCTAAGGAAATAATACAACAGAATCAAATAATTATGTGAAGGCATTGTCTAGAGTGGAAAAGACATTAAGTCAAAGGTTGCAAACTCAAATGCATATAGGAATCCAGAGGTGATAATGTAAATGAGTGAGACAAGCTTGATGAATGACAATAGGGAGTGGTGGTGACTGTAGCAAAGTGGAGGATGTATGCTCTCTCTAGAGCTGGACAACAGCTGCTAGTTGCCAGGCTTGAATGTTAGAAATCTGAATTTTAGGGTTATCCGTGATTTCCCTTGGGAACTAACTCAAATTGAAAAACAGCAGCTACCACAAAGCACTGTGTCACCATGTGTATTTCAAATAAAACATGTCCACAGCCATAGTTGAACCTTCAGGTGCCCAGTTCTGGCCTCAATGCCCAACATAAGTGATTAAGGTAGTAGATTATAGAGCTTAACACATAATTTTAGTAATCATTAAAATAGTAACTAAAAGATTATAGAAACTTGGAAAATAGAATAATGTTAAAGAAGAATATCAGATGATTGACACTATGTAAAAAAGATGACTATGTGGATAAGAACTGGTATGTGATATTACCACATTGAAAATGGTCATGTTAGGGTCATGGGATTTTTTTCTTTTCTTAAAATACTGTTTTACATATATATACACATTACGTGTGTATGTGTGTCTCTGTGTGTGTGTGTGTGTGTGTGAAGCACTCGTGTGGTGAAGCCCTGCCTCGAGGTGGGGAAGCAGGCAGGCTGAGATTTGGGGGCTGTGGGCCCCTGAGGACGTCTCTGAGAGAGGCAGGTGGACCTCGGCCTACTTCTCTCCTCTTCTCTCTGGACGAGGCCGTCCGCCAAGCTTTGTCGTCCCTGGTGAGTCAGGGGTACTGCTGACAGTCATTAGTGATGATCTTACAGCGTGCCTAATTAAGTTACTACTAAAGGCTTTAGCTTAAAAGAAAATCAGCTTCTTTCCTTCAACAGACCATCAATGACAATGTCACCTTGTCCCAGAAATGTACTAAGCACGTCTTTAGATCCTGACAGTCCTTGTGTCAAGCAACACGGCTTCACGTCTCTGTCAGGACACGTGTGAACAGTGATCACCTGTCAGGAGAGGTGGGATTCCTCATTTAGCTGAAAATTACCTTCTGAAACCAGAGGGGTATTTTTTTGTGTCATGAAGAAGCAAAAAGTTAATATGACATATTTTAGGTGACTTGTGCCCATTGGATACGTGTAAAAGTCCACAGCCCTCTTTTCAGTCTTTGTTCTGAAATTGATCTAAGTTCACCCTCTCTGCTGCCATCTTTGCCCCTTTATAATTGGGCATAACCTTTGAATATAGTGTTTATACCTGACCTGAGGGCTCCATGAGGAGAAATTGATAGGAAGTGACT